TCGGTAGCAGTGGAGCCAGAAGTCCCACCGGTGCCCTTGCCTACGGCCTCCTCCCTGCCTCGGAAGCTGCTGCCCTGGGAGGAGGGCCCGGGCCCGCCACCACCACCCTTGCCGGGGCCCCTCTCCCAGCCTCAGGCCTCTGCCTTGGCCACCGTCAAAGCCAGCATCATCAGCGAACTCAGCTCCAAGCTCCAGCAGTTCGGGGGTTCCTCAGCAGCTGGAGGGGCCCTGCCTTGGGCCCGGGGGGGCAGCGGGGGCAGCGGGGACAGCCACCACGGCGGAGCCAGCTACATCCCCGAGAGGACCTCCTCCCTGCAGCGGCAGAGGTGAGCAGGGCTGGTGGCTGACAGTGGAGGCTGAGGGGCCGCTGTGGTGAGCACCAGGGTCCACCCTCCCCATAGCTGTGTCCCTGGAGAGACTGGGGTGACAGAAGGGCAAAGGCTGGCTTTCAGGGATTTGCCCCAGAGGAAGCGCCCTCCTGGGGTCCCCGTCTGCGCCGCAGCCCAGGGAGAACCAGACGCTGTTGACAAATGAGATGTCTGGGTCCCTGGTACCCAGGTGGCTTCTTGGGGCTCAGGCCCAATCCAGCTTAGCACTTTCCGGCTGGGTGATCATAGGTAAAGAAATCCACCTTTGGGCGGGGATTTAGCTTGGTTCAGCCACCTGCCTCAGAAGTGAAAGGATCCAAGTTTGATCCCCAGTACCAAAAAAAGAACGGACCTTTCTGCAGGGTGGGGCCGGCACAGTCCCTCCTAAAGGGGCTTTGGCACAGATTTGAGGTGGGCCATTGTCACACGCCAAGATGGAGGAGGACAGGGCCCCTTGGAGACCCCAGCACCACAGAGGTGATGGGGAAATGCGGGGTGATGCAGAGTCGCCTAGAGCCGCCCTCCAGTCTTAGGGGTGGTCAGTTGCAGACCCCCATCGGAGGGGGACCTTGAAATCTTACCCCTCCCAGGGCTCGCCTGTCCCAGAGCTGGGCACCCTCGTGGTTACCATGGAAATGGTGCCCCAGGTCGCTGGTCACCTCGGGGGTGACAACCCCACGGTGCAGGGGTGGGGCCACCCTCGTGCCCGCCCTAGTGAGGTGCTGAGTAGCAGGGGGCGGAAGAGCCCAAGAGGCAGGAGCTGGCAGCAGCGCGAGCCAGAGGGATGAGGGGAACCTCCTTCTCCCTTTGTTTCTTCTCCTTCATCTCCCTTTCCTCATCCCTCTTTCTCTGTCCCGTCCCCCTCCATCTCTCTCCCCCAAATGCTCATCCTCTTTTTTGTTTCTCTCACTGTCCCTGTCCTCCACTCTGCTATAACTGGCCATAACCCCAAAGGCAGTATAGAGTAGTGGTTAAGAGCTCAGAGTTTGGTGCCATATAAACGGGCTCTGGCCACTTCCTGGTTGTGTGTCTTTAGGCAAGTTCCTAAACCTCTCTGTGCTGATGATTATAATGACTAGTAACCTGTATCAGGGCTATTGTAGGGGTTAAACTGAGATGGAGATGGGTACGTAAAGCACTTAGAACAATGCCTGGCACACGTGAGCAGCAGTAAGTGGTGGCAATGATATTATTATCACTTAATGTCTTTTTCTTTCATCTCTCTCGACTGTCACCCTTTCCCGATCGCTCATTCTCTGTCCTGACATCCATCTCGCCTCCTTTCATCTCTTCCCATCTCCTCCACGCTCACCTCTCTCCCTGTATCCTGACCTCTGCCTCTGAACAATGCCTGGCACACGTGAGCAGCAGTAAGTGGTGGCAATGATATTATTATCACTTAATGTCTTTTTCTTTCATCTCTCTCGACTGTCACCCTTTCCCGATCGCTCATTCTCTGTCCTGACATCCATCTCGCCTCCTTTCATCTCTTCCCATCTCCTCCACGCTCACCTCTCTCCCTGTATCCTGACCTCTGCCTCTCT